CCCCAAAACCCCAAAACCCCAAAACCCCGCAATTCTTGCTAATTATTGAGATAAATATTTAGGAACGATGAGTATGGAGGATTCTAATATGGACGATGGGTCAGAAGAGGCGAAGGTTTTAACAGCTTCTCAGAGAAAAGCGTTTTATGAGAATATTGAGCAGGAGAAATATGAGCTAGGAGATAATGAGAATATTATTGACTTCACTACACCAGAGGGAGTTAAAAAGATTGAACTTATTAAGCCAAGAGGTAAGCTTATGTGCTTAATTAAGCTAATCTATTGTAGTTACCAAGGTATATGAAGGACTTGATGAAGCATCAAAAGATCAAAGCATTAATGCCTTAACATACCAGAGAAAGTACCTTGAGTCTCTCTGTGAGGGAGAGTCTCCTTCTCTTCTCAAGCCATTTCAGGTTTCTGATTATATCCAGCATAATGAGTTTGATGATATTATTGATATACAGTATGTCCAATTGTGAGAGTGAACCATTCCTGCCCAGAATGGAAATACGTGCCCTCCTTTAATTAAAATCATTGAGAATGGGGAGACTTACTTGATTTTCCTTGTTTTCAATTGATGTGTTCAGGTGACTAAGCTTCATCTCAAAAATGGAACAATGGATGACAGAATGACTTTTAAGCTGCTAAATGATGAGACCATCATGACCATGGATGCTATCAGAGATCAATACAGCATTTATTTCGGCATGGGAAGCATAAACGGAATTGTCTATGCCTTTAATTTAGCTAATGGATACAAATATGTATTTAAGAACCATAGCGATGAAGTGACCTCAGTGAAATTTTGTCCAGGTGAACAGATAAAGTTACTTCTATCCATCTCAAAAGACTGTACCATCAGATTGTACTCTCTCATGCATGACCAACAGATTGCAGTATACCAAGATCCTTTCAATTTCTGGCTAAAAGGTGTCGATGTCTCTTGGCATGAACTTGGTGAGAAATTTGTGTCTGTCTCTGACAGAGGAGGTTATGATCTTCTCCACTTTTTCTACCTTCCTCACAACGAGTACTACAACCAGTTCTCAGAAGTCGATAAATTCTTTATTAAGCAACAGGAGAAGAACGAGATCATTGTCAGAGAGGAAGCGGGAGATAATACAAGTGATGATGATACAGATGAAAAGAAGTCGAGAGGTAAGATCCTTGCTGATTTTTGTTCTTTTACAATCTTCCTTGTGCTACAAACTAATGTTTCTGATCCAAGCTTTACTATAGTCGCCCCAAGGCTAGACTGTCTGTCATTCTACAGAGAATACAAGAATTGGAAAGTTGATAAAATTAAGCAGGTTGAGTATTTTGGAGATATATTCTTAATAAGCCACCCAGATTGTATCTCCTTCTTAGCACCAGACACAGAGGAGGAATACATCATTTGCAAGAAGATACCAATTCAAGAGGAAATTATAGAATTCAAGATATCAGGAGAGTTATTATTCATCCACACTCTATCCAAAGTTTACTACGCTAGCATGATTGACATCATTGATTCTCCTGAATTGATCGTATCTGATCTGGCTAGCTTTAAAGTGCCAAACCAAGCAAGTTCTTTAGTTTTCTACCAAAGGTTCACGGTCTCAGAGGATGCAAAGGTGGTACTCACATTTGACTCAAATTCTAAGCTTACGATATATTCAAAGAAATAATCAGTCAGTTTAGATGGTATCAAAGGGGTTTTGGGGTTTTGGGGTTTTGGGG